GTATCAGCCATGATAGAGGAATCATCATCATCATCATTATCATCATCATCATCACCACCATCATGAACCCACAGCGCAAGTGCTTAACTACCAACTAAACTTTACCTGATAAGGTGATTTTGATATAGTCACTCGTCAACACCGGCACGACACCACACGCACAAGTGGCCAGTAACAATGCGCCGTCAATGTTGTTCTTGGTAGTTCAGCACTTGTCCTATGAGTCCGTGTCTCTTTCGTCCTTGTCCTTCGTTCTGTTTAACTTCGCATATTTTGCACCAACTTGCCTAGAACAAAGCCGTCTTGCGTAACTACTGTTTATCGCGTCAGCATTGTCGGAAGAGAGTCCATGGCGCCTTGTAAGAGCACCATTGGGTGTGAAGGAAGTATCTGCCTCTGTTTTCATAGGCTTCGCACGCTACGTAAGCTTGTCGTGACACCCTATTGCCCAGATATTGTCACTGATAGTTTCTCTTGTATGAAGGGCCCACGCAAATTAAAGTGCGTGTTTTCCCTGAAATTCAACAGGCTCTTCTAAATATGTCTACATGGACGTTTGTTAAGAAAAGGTTGGCATCCAGGTCGACGGGACTACAAATGAAAGGAAGCGAAAAGAGTCTTACGTCACCAGCACTCTCACAGTGAGCATGCAGTTACGAGAGCTCAGATGAATAGTGTATAAACGAGTAAATAAACAATTTTTCCTGAGAAAAAAAATGAGATAAGGGATTGGTTACCACCAATCCCTTATCGCATCCATTAGTACGTAACAAGGATGAAGTATCCTTGTTACGTACTAATGTGTGTGCGACCTCCTTTTTGGGCATCACCTCCTGCTTAAGCAATTCGTTCACACTCTTGTAACAATAAATATAGTTCCTGGGGTTTCATGCGTCAAAACCACGATATGATTAGTATAGGCATGCTACAGTCAAGCATTCCGGAACTTTTGACCACTTGGGATCTTTAACGTGAACCTAAATCAAAGTACATGGACGTTCTTTCATTTACGCTCCATCAAAATGCGGCCGCGGTGGTCAGTGTCGAACCCGTGACATTTAGGTAAGCATGCCGTGAGCACTATTTATTGCATAGGAAATAAATTATTGGCCAAATGAATGACCAACGACAATTTCTTCACATAGAAACAGAGTGAATTGCATTTTTTCTTGAGTACCTTGTGTAGCTTTAAATATTGAAATAGGTTAACTGCACATTTAGGTGCCACTGAACTTATTATTACTAAATTACCACTTCACGTTGAGTAGACGGCAGTAGGGCTGGCCGGATGTATAGGAGTTACACTCTTCATGCTACAGATGTCATAGTGTAGGCATGATATTTTCATTACATGGAGGTACCTATTAAGCAGCCTGGCGAAGTAAGCATACATCACACATAAAGCAGTTTCCGGTTGACCTTGTAGGTATCAGCAACGGAGTCACTTTTAGCGCTGCAGTGATAATTGGCTCATTTCAGCAGACGCTTCCGCGGATCACATTGCAAGTACTACTGAGCTACGTCAACATTTGGACTGAGCCTTTCCTGAAAAACAATGAAGAAGAAAAGGTGCTGTGGCATGACTAAAATGGTTGCAGCTTTCGTTAATGCTGTAAAACAAGAAACACAACGGAGCAGCAAAGCATCTGGACACGTGCATAAAAAACAATGGACATCATAGCGTTTCGGGATTTCGGAGTGTAACGAGGAAAAGCCTGCTAACGAGGTTAGTCCTATTATTAGAAACATCACCAAACAAGCTATAATAACAGCCACAGTACAGTATACACACGTGCGACTGAAGCAAACATTCATAACTACTCAGCTCTCATGTTACACATCTCTCAAATTTTGTATTCCAACACGGGGCGCGGAGCAAGGACAATACTGCGAAGCGTGTTCATCAGACCGCCGCAAACACCCGTAATTTTGTCGCACGCGCTTGATCCCGAACGTGTCAGAAACACTCATAAAAAATGACTGATCATGTCAACGCGATAAATGGGCTGTGAAATCTCCGTCAAAAACCACTCGAGGAGAAGCTGAGGCTTTCGATAAAGTACAGCAGTTCCGACCTCGTTCCACCATGGCATACGCAACCTTCGCTTTGGCTATTTTTATGTCCGTTTCCATGGTGATCGACAGCTGTGAGACATTCTTGCTTCACTCTTTTCTCTGTTATTGTTCTTTTTTTTTTCATGTCGTGTTTCAGAAGTCCACAAAGGAGAGAAATATAGAAGTACTTATTAACTTCCCAGCCTACCCAGGCCGTAGGCACGATTCCTTTCAGGCGTGAGGCACCTCAGGGTCTCGGTTTTTTGTCGCATAATGTCGTCACCATGTGCCGAGTAGTCGCGATTGATCATAAATGGCTACGCGACACAAATATTGGGTTAATCCCAGTACTCGTCCCCGGTCCAGTAGAAATGAAGAAGGCAGAAGGCAATGATTGCCGGGAAATGAAAACAGGAATGTAGAGACGAAGAAAAACCTTCCCGTAAGTAACATTCCGCAGAGTAAATGCGGGTCATTTTGTCTTAGCCATCAAAGATACCAAACAATAAGCTGCATTCCGACGAAAGTTTCTGGCGACGTCAGAGGAGCGCAAACTTTTTTTCCTACATGCCCGGTTTCAGGCTTGGGACTACCAAGGCTTCATCAAATAAATACCCCTCAAAGCACTGCATAATTCACACCTCCACAAATTTCACATTAGTGAAGTTGAGACACGCTTTCTTACGTGCTTCATTCCTCTGAAGTTTTTTTTTTCTTTTTTTTTCAAAGGAGAGGGCAGTCGCCTGCACGATGAAGCCAGTAAATGTGGGGAATAGGAGAGGGGCAGGCTCGAACGATGTTGTAGTTACTGCCTGGCACCGTTTTATATTGGGTATCCGATGGTGCAGAAACGCATCCTACTAACCGAGGCCTTGTCACTATGCCAGATAAAGCGCACCCGCTTAAAGTTTAGGGGCTCCTGTAGAGTTTAAGAGCTCCTGTAAAAGTTTAAGAGCTCCTGTAGAGACACGTCATCTAAGTTTCGGAGGATCTTGTACAATATACGATCCGGCCTTGGTGCAGTGTCCCGGGTAATACAAGCAAGGGCCTGTTTTACCTCTGCAAGCGTGATATCTGCATCCAAGTTTTCGTCCGTATCAGGGGGTGTTAAAGGGAGTGCGTTCGCATCCGCCGGTAGGGGCTGAGGAATGTAAAGTTTTTTTATGTGTGTCATAATGTCTGTGCCTTTTTGCTCTTCTAGGTAAATGAGCCGTTGGGTAGCGGTGTGAATGTGGTTTTTGGTCAACGGGGGATCTAGAAGGGCCCTTGAGATGTTCCATGTACGTTTTGTGCCAAGTGTTCATTTCAGTGTCCCACAAAAGTTTTCTCAATTTGCTTTCGCTAACTGGGTGGCATACTGTGCAGCTTCCTCTCTGACTGCAGTGATACGTAGGCGAAGTTGGCGGTTTAGTCTCTGACGCTTCCATCGTTTACAAAGGCTTCGTCGGGCCTCCCACAGATGGAGGAGGTGGTGGTCAACTTGAGGCGCATTTTGCGTTTTCTTAATTTTTTTACCAGACATATCAACAGCATCTTGTAATCTTTGAGTCCAGGACTCTATGGATTCCGTAGTGGTATCCTCTGCGGCGATATATGTGCGTAGTTTATCCCAGTCAACGAAGGTTTGCAGTTTAGGTCGAAAATTTTGGAATTTTACGTTATGACAGCTCTAATCACGTGGTGGTCACTACCTAATGTATCCGGCAGAACCTCATGTGTTTTTACTATTACATGTGCACTCACCATCATGAGGTCAGGCGTGGTATCTCTGGCGGTGCTAGTGCCTACTTTCGTTGGCTCAGTAGGATCAGTAATTAAGGTAACTACGTAATGCATCATCACGTTATGTACAAGGTTACCTTTCGGTGATTTACTTATGTAACCCCATGCGGTATGGCATGCATTAAAGTCACGTACTATAATGCGATGTGTGGACCGCGTTTGAGCAAGAATTTCGGGTATGCTGGTGCCCTTATTTTTAGGGGCGCTGTATATGTTGATTACCAAGAGGCATTTACCCGATGTGTGATTCGACGGGATTACCTCAAGAGCAGTGTACTCGGTTTCTTTCTCTGATGAGCTTCTCGTAGGGGTCCGATCTATGAATGGAAGGGTTCTATGAATAAGAATAGTGGTGCGTGATGTTACCGATGCCACCTGATATCCTTGCAGAGAAAAAGGCGAAAATCCCGTCTCCTGCAGACCCACTATATGAGGTGGTTCAGCGGAGTGTTGAACGTAGGCGGCCAATTGAGATTGATTGATTTGTGGGTTTTAACGTCCCAAAACCACCATATGATTATGAGAGACGCCGTAGTGGAGGGCTCCGGAAATTTTGACCACCTGGGGTTCTTTAACGTGCACCCAAATCTGAGCACACGGGCCTACGACATTTCCGCCTCCATCGGAAATGCGGCCAATTGAGAGTGTTTCTTTCTGATGCTTCTACAATTTCACTGCCATATGTTGATATCAAATGAATTTTAATTTTCGGATAGAGAAGGCGAACCTGCTCTTCTGGGATTTCGTCGATGACTAGAATTCACCATGTTGGGTCATTGTGGGAGTGGAAACTCCCGATTTTGGGCTGTTCGCCTGCTCCGTGTGCTGAGATGAAGCGGTGGCAGATTAACGTTGTTTATGCTTACGGGTTGGTGATGATTGAGCTTCCATATCATACAGGTGAATAATTGCAGCCTCAATTTTTTCCATGTGGTGACTAAACGTGGTCTCTATTCTCTGGAGGGTCTGTTCTTGTTAGTTAATCAGCTGTGTTTTAACAGCCTCGAGGCTATCACTTACAAACTTAAAAACTAGTTGTGTGAGGGCTTGAGTGAATTCTGTGGTTGAGAAATACTGGGCACACGTCTGTTGAACGAGGGCTGGTGAATAGGGTGGTGTTGATTGTGAAGGATTTCGGGAGGCCTGCTCAACGCACGACTTACCAGGGTCGGCCAAAGAGTCCTGCCTTCGCTGTAGCTGCGACTGTAGGGCTTGATCTAGGTGACCTCTTGCAGCCAAGCCAGGTGAACTCGAAGCCGCTGCCCTGGCCTCCAAGCCAGGTGCATTGGTGGGCTCTCATTGCGGGAGTGCTGGCCTCGTATTGTAGCTTTTCGCATTGCACTGCAAAGAAGGCGGTTGGTAGTTCCTGGATGAATGCGCAGATGCCTGGATGGGTGGAGGTGCTTGGGGTTGAACAGGTTGTGAGGTCTGCTTTCCATGCTTTGGGGTTTTTGAGCGCTTGGATCGAGCACTCATACCGTGGCCTTTGCTGCTGGCGTGCTGAGGACTGCTGCGAGGTTGGTTGTTTGGTGGCAACTGTTCAAAAAGTTGTTTCAGTGGAGGGTCATTGGGCTTTTCTAGGAGCTGGCGTTCATCTCTCAGAACACGGGGCCCAGGTCTGCTTTGTCGGGCTGGACAACCCAGGTCAATGGTGGGGTGTTCGTCGAAGCCACAGGTTAAACAGTGCGGAACACAACCATCATGGTGTTCGCTTGGGTTGGGAATGCTGCGATTGCCACCCTGGCGTTCCTGTGGATATGGGCAGATGTCGTGTCGGTGGCTAGTTCTGAGGCAGCAGTGGCACACTTAAGTGACTGGTCGGAAAGGTCTGCATCGAAATTCCACGCCTTGGAAGTAAACGTATCAGGGAACACGCTTTCCCTCGGAGGTGTAGAGGCATGCTCCATTCGTCCCGAATGGTCGCGCTTGGATAATATTGAAACTTTGAGGGTAAGTGACGGTGTCGTTCATGAGGGCGTCCTCTGAGTGTATAGAGAGAGCTCCTGTGATTACTCCCTTGCAGGAGTTATCTGGGGAAGCCACGTAAGCGGAGACTTCATGCGATCTGCTGCCGAGCTTGAGCATCTGCACATGACACAGCTGTACCGCGACGTCTGGGTCTGAGGTGCTGATTAGGGCAATGTTCTGCTCCTTGGGTACTCGTATCAGCGCACTCATGGGCAAGGGGGATCGGAGCGCGGTTCGTATAGCAGCGCGCAAGGGTAAAACCGCTTCTTGTTGCAGAGATATGCCTCCTCTTATACGAAAGATCACCTTGTGGTCCTCTACGGGAAGGCGTGGCAGGCGGGGCAGGCCGGTTCCATGTCGGAGCTCACGTTGGTGGAATGTGGCTGGTGGCGTCGCGGAGAGAAAGAAATACTTTATTGGGTTGAAAAAGAAGGGGTTTAGGAGCTAGATGGGTGGGGCCCCATGTCCAAGGCTCCACTGGCTTGCGCCGCCTGCCGGACGTGGTCAAGGAGTGCTAGTCTCACCTCCGGGTCCGAGCTAGCGAGGCGTGCCTCCCATTGCTCCAAAGAGTTTTCCATTCTATACATACGCTGTAAGCGATCAAGTTCATTTGGCCGTTTAGCACAACTCCACGAGATATGGTAAAGGGTCGGTTGCGAGTCGTGACACAACGGACAATAGCGCCCATACAAAGTTGGATGAATTTTGTGCAGTCGTAATAAATTTGGATAAACTCCCGTTTGAATTTTGCGGAGGTCTATGGCGTCTTCCCCTTTAAGAGATTTGTGGGGGCGCCATATTTCTGCCGCGTGCATCGCTAGTGAGCAAGAAGCTCTCGCGGAGCCATCTGAGCCAAGTCGTTTTTCTCCTCCTCGCGAAAGCCGTCATTGCTGGGTGGTGGTAACAGCGAGAAAGGCTGCTGCTCCGCTCGGTTCGTGAGCGCTCTAGCTACAGCGTCCGCCTCTCATTACCCTCTAGGCCTGCATCTCCAGGGCACCAGACCAACCTATAAGTTTTTCTCAATTCGCCGCCTAAAAATTTGCAAATGTTTAATGGGACGCAGCCTTTCGCGAATAGCCGGCACGCCTCTTGCGAATCTGAGAGTATGGTGATGTACGTCTGGCCGTCGCTGCGCTCTCAACTTTTAATCGCCAATGCGATGGCGAAACACTCGGCCTTGGTGATCGATGTAGTGTACAGTGATGCGCTGGACGCTATGCTTCTCGTGTTACTGCTTACCATTGTGACGACGCAGCGCTTCCGGTTATACCTGGAAGCGTCAACGTATAGCACGTTCTCATTGCCTCTGACAAATTTTCTGATCCATTTTACACGCTCTTCTCTCCTTTCGTCATGCCGCTCCTTGGTCATGTTCCTGGAGATAGGGGCGATCGAAATATGTCGTCGGACTGGGTCTGGTACGTCCACCAGCTCCTCGTCCAAGTTTTGGGGTTGCGGTGTTATACCCGCCCTCATCAGTATCTTTCTTCCCGACTTCGTCTGGCTGAGGCGGTTGCGCTGAGAGATCAATATTGCTGCTTTCAGTTCAGCGTACGTGTTATGCAGGCCGATCTCGGAAAGCATCTGTGTCGGAGTGCTTATCGGTAAGCCTAATGCTGCCTTGTAAGCCCCTCTGATGATAGAATCTACTTGCTCTTCCTCGCTCTTGTTCAGCGTGTGGAAAGGCAAGCTGTATGTCAATTTGCTCATTACAAGCGCCTGCACTAAACGGACAGTATCACTTTCTTTCATGCCTTTTTTGTGGAAGGTGATCCTCTGAATCATCCTATCCACTTGTTTAGTTGCCGATTTAAGAAGACCGATAGTGTGATTTGCCCTACCGTTGCTTTGAACCCAGAAACCCAGGATCCGGGCGACGGTGACTTCTTTAAATTTCTGCTTTTCGATTTCAATTTCTATTCTTCCGTTACTTTTGTAGCGTTTGCTGTGTATTCTGATCACCTCCGATTTTTCAGATGCGCAGCTGAGATCACTGGTTCTGGCAAAGTTTTCGACAGCCAGTGCCACCTCTTGCAGAGTCTGCTCTTTGCTGACCAGGGACCCCCGTGTGGCCCACAGAGTAATGTCGTCCACGTAGAGGGTATAACCTAGCTGTGGTACACAATCCAAGGCCCGAGCGAGTCGACGCATGGCGATATTAAACAACAGAGGAGATATTATGGCTCCTTGAGGCGTTCCCTTGTTTGGCATTCGGAATGGTTCAGACCTAACGCTTGAGATACCAATTGTCGCCTCCCGATCAGTGAGAAAATATTTCATATAGATATGTATCTTTTCCCCGCAACCAATTATATTTAGCTCTGAAAGTATAGCTTCATGAGAGATATTGTCAAAAGCTCCCTTTAAGTCTAGAGCAAGCAGCAAATGCTCTCCACCTTTGGGAACGCACTTGAGGACCTCTTCTTGTATCAGGAGGAAAGCGTCTTGTGTTTAGAGACCACTGCGGAAGCCCAGCATGGTGGCCGGAAACAGCGCCCTGTCCTCTATGAAATACTGAAGTCTGGTCTCAACGACCCGTTCGAAAAGCTTCCCCATACATGACGTAAGTGATATAGGTCTGAGCACCTGCAGGGAGGGCTTTTTTCCGGGTTTCAGAATGGTTATAATTTTTGTGGTTTTCCACTCTGCAAGGACCTTTCTTTTGAGCCAATAGTGTTCATTGAATTGTTTTGTCATGCCTTCAATGGCTTTGTCGCTAAGGTTTCTTATCATCGCATTCGTAATTTGGTCTTCACCGGGAGCTGTGTTCCTCTTGGCTGCCTGAGCTGCCACAAAGACCTCCTCCTTTGTTATCGGCTCGTCTAGTTTCTCACTTGTAGCTCCACTGTAATTCATGTGATTAGCCGAATTACTTGGTGGACTATCATCAATATATCTCTCCTTGAAGCTTTCACGAGGTCGTCGTCCATGCCCGCAAATGTTTCTGCAATTTTCTGCAGTGTTCTCTTTGCCGTGGATTTGGATTTGTCTGGATCAAGAATATTTCTTAGGACGGACCAAGTTTTCGTGGTGCTCAGTGTGTTCTGGAGCGAACTGCAGAACTTGACCCATCCCTCGGTAGCCAATTTGCTTGCATAGTCGTTTGCTTCCTCTGCAAGAGCAGCGATCCTACGCAGTAGTGTCCTATTCAGGCGTTGACGTTTCCAACGCTTTAGTAGGCTGCGCCTATATACTCTCCCATAGGTGTAGCAGATGGCTTTCTACTCCTGGTGTCTCTACGGTTCTGGCTATTTTCTTCGTAGTGATGGCGTGTACCGACTTTATGTACTCCGACCATGCCTCTATTGAGTTCGGTACAGAGTCGGGTGGAGGATCTCGTTTCCTAAACTGAGTCCAATCTGTGATCGCCACGTCGCCTATCAATCTGCGCATTTTGGGTGTCGATATGGAGACGCTTATAATGTAATGGTCGCTTCCTAGATCTTCCTCCAGGTTTGTCCAGGATGCGTCTTTGAGGTTGTAGGTGAAAGTGAGCTCCGGGAACGTGTCTCTACATACGCTGTTGCCCACTCTCGTGGGCGCGAAGGGGAGAGTTATTAAAATCAGGCCCAGCCTAGACGCAGCATGTTCGAGACGCGTTCCCTTCGGCGAGTCTTTTGGGTAACCCCATGTGGTGCTGGGTGCGTTAAAATCACCCAAAACCAATAGGCGGTCCTTGTTGCCTGCGCTTTTAACCGTCTCAGCAAGAAGCTCATTGAAGTCTTCGCCTTTGTCTTTTGGAGGACTGTATAGGTTCACTATTATAGTCTTCGCTTTGCCTCTCTTCTGGGGGAATAAACTGATAATTTGGTGATTGATCTGTAGCGTTCCTATGTACTTATCTGTTGCCGCAATCATCTTGCTCGCCAGCGTCGCTACGCAGGGATAATTTGGGTTCTGAAAAACGTAATAACCCTGAAGCTTCACTATTCTGGCATTAATTTCTTGCAAGCATATAACGTCGGGCCTAATTGGTGCCACATTGATATAACTCTAGAGTGCTGTGGCGCGTTTGTGAAAAATGCGGCAATTCCACTGCCAGATCTCTAATTGTTCCACACTTCTCAGGTTATTTTTGTCCATGATGCATGGGTGCTTCCGCGTCGTCGCGATTCCCCTTAGATTGTTTGCTATTTCTAGCGGAGGTCGAGCGAGAGCGCTTGTTTATCGCCCTTTGCAAGCTGCTAGTAGCGTCATTCACGTACTGCCTTTGAGTTTTTAATTCCTCGCCGACGAAAGATTTTATCTCATTCATGAAATCGACTAGCAGTTTATTAACGTTTGCTTTACCTTCCCTGTTTTTGTCTAACTGCGCCAATATTTGCTGCCTTA